GGGAGGGAACAGTGGCATGGGGGAGAGGGGTGCCATGTGCCATCACTGCCTTGGCCCTGGCAGGACCTTGCTGTTGACCGTGGAAGAAGAAATGCCTTCTCCCACTGCCTCCTTCAATTCAGGCCAAAATTACCTCCCAAGGGTGGTGACATTGAAGTCATGAAGCTTTCCTACCCTGTGCAGTGCTGGCTGCTGCCTTCCTGACTGTGCTGGCACCAAGCTGCAGGAGGGGCTTTAGTCCCATTTCCAGGGGGCAGAGCTGATTTGAGACGGGACCTGGGACATGTAGGGGCAGGAAAGCAGTATTGCTGCTTTTGGCCCTGAGCTATGTGTGCAATCCCTGACTCTGTCCTGCATGTCTGTGCATCCCCAGGGCCAAGGAGATCTCCTGAAGAACGCCAAGAACGAAGCCCTGGAGAACATGAAGCAGATCCAGCTGGCGTGCCTGTCGTGCGGACTGAGCAAAACTGGGAGCGGGCAGGCGGATGCCAAGGCAAAACGGTGCCTGGAGGCAATACAGGAGAAGGATACTGGAGATGAGAATGGGAGGCTGTGAGGGGAGGCAGAGCTGTTGCATTTGTCACAGATTTCAATAACTCTAAAACTATTTTTTTAAAGCATTTAAAAATTCACACAGGAGTGCCCTCTACAGGGTGTGATAGTATTAAAATCCTCACAATGTCAGTATTTTAATGCAGTTAATTTATCCAAGTTAAACTCTGGTAGTGAGATTTCTAATGAAGCCAAGCTGTCTGTATGCAAGTGCGTGTGTGTGCGCACGTGCAAATCCTGTAGACACCCTTTCACGCATTACATTAGCCATTTGCTAATTTATTCCTTTGTCATCTTTGAATAGGCCTGTTCATTCTGAAGATCAAAACAAATTGAGAGCACTTCTGTCAGTTTTGGGCTTTATTTTACTCTCTAGCTTTTATCATTTTACTTACAGGTTACATTACTGTTATGCTGTTTAAACAAACAAACAAAACACAACAAATATCACTGATGGCTGTTCTTGTGAGGACAAAACCGGTGGTTTGCTGCAGACCCTGAAGGTGATTTTTAGTGAAGCAATTACAGCCAAGTAAACAGGATATTAAATGGTCAGAGTTGCTAGGTAGATTATCAGTAGATTTGAGGTGTATTTTTTGCTGAATTTAGCAAACTACTCTTCAGGGTACGCCCAGACAGCACATACTAACATAAGAACTAGCTAATTTAGTTTATTCCAGAAAAACATTGCTACCTTGTAGATCTGCAAGACAGCTACAGTCTTTGCTGATAGGCATTAGCCTGAGTAGTAATGATCATAGCTAGTCAGCCCTGTAATTATGGGGAGAGCTGTGAATACCCTTTGGTGGTCATGAACTCTGAAGGTGACCTTCAGGCTGTTCTGAAACACCCAGTGGTGCCAGTATTAAAAGGAAGATTTTCCAGATTTCACAAAATGTGAGCTTTAGTACAAGATGTGTGAGAGGTCAGACTTTGCTTGCCACCTTCTTCATAGATGTTGGAGTCAGCTGGATGAAACAAGCAGGCTCTGGCCTTACGTTTTCACTATGCTGTGCTAGAGATGTAAAAGCAGGGCTGAAGATCTGCTACAGGTTTAGTGTAGAGAAATAGCCTGGGGGGAAACAGGGTGCCAGAGTTTTTGTGCAGCAGCTACAAATATCCTAACACATGTCACGTGTTTGGGGTGGTTCTGAGAACTGGCTGCCTCTTTGTGCCACTGTGGAAAGGAGACAGAGAATGTCCCGAAGCAATGCATCCTCGTCCCTCCCGGTGTCCGGCCCACATGTGCTCACAACATTCATTTCAATCGTTTAAGTACTGTGCTTGAGTGGAGTATTTGTGTTACCTTTAACAGGACTAAGTGTTTCATGGTTATAAAAAAGACTATATTTATTTAAAGCATTGCTTTTATTTTTAAAAGCTACTTTTTAAATTAATTTGATTAACAAATATGCTAATTTTCTGAACTTAAAAAAAGTAATTGCTGAAAGTTTGATTGTTGGAAAAATCTTATATAGCTATTGTGTTAAGTTATTTTTGACTTCTTAATAACACTATTATGTTCATGTTGCACATTACTGAGAGAGTAAAGCTATGAAACAACTTTGACCCATGATTTTGCAGTGATTTAACACATGATCCTGGATAAAGTTGGGGTAGAATGGGTAAGCTTCTTGAGAGAATGTCCTCCTCTAACAGCAGCTGTGTTATTGCAAAGGTTGTAACTCAGGTGCCTTAAATACCATTTCAGTAAAATTTGCCATACTTGTTCAGATCCATCCCTAAACATTCTGTTTATCTCTCAATTAGATTATGAGTGTGCATTCAGACTTCACTGAGGTCTGGAGAAGTGTTTTTCATGTTTCAGGCAAGGCATAAAGCCCACAAAAATGGTGTGAGTGTGCCTGTTCAAGTTTTGCCCTCTTGGATTATGTTTGTACAAAAACAACACTTGGCCTTCAATACTTACAGTTAGGGATGATGGAAACCATAACCCCAGCACCATCAGCTGCAAGGGATCAGCCTTTGGAAAGATCCCTCTCAGAAGGGAGAGGTTGCTTCAGGAAGGGTGGGTGACTTACCTCTTGGTGCTTCATTTAAGTCTAGAAATATTTTGATTTTCTCAGTCAAAAAGCCTGTCCTAATGTCTGTACAGGAACTGCTGGCAAAATACCTTCTCTGATGTTAGGAACAAACAAACATGAAATTACAGAGAGAAGGTCTTTCTTTCTGTGCTCTGTGTACAGGGGGTACTGCACAGCTCTCACTCTGGATGCACCCAAAGTGGCTGGATGGAAATCCCATAGCATGCACACACACCTTTCATGCCATGTTTAGCATTCATGTCATGTCCTATGCCAGGGTCATGTATTCTGTGCCAAAATACAGGAGTAGAGAGTTTGGGGCATCCTGGACTGCCCCAGGCAGTTGGGACAATTCATGGTGCTGGCACCCAGAACCCTGCATCTGAAGCAGCTCCACCCTTCCTCCTGCACCAAGGGAGGGGCTGGCAGCAAAAGCTAATCCGGCCTTCCTCTGAGCTCCTTTGAAGTCAATGGGAGTGGAAGTGAATGATAAAGTGGCAGCTGGTATCATAAAAGTTCAGCCTTGAGGGAGAGCACATGGAAAAATCATATCCAGCATCAGCAACAAACACACACACGAGACTGAGTGCCTGGCCTTTTTGGAGAGTGTTTCATGGTGTGCCTGGCTTCTTGCAGGGGCACAGCCTCTGTCTCTGGGCCCTCTGCTGGTACAATTTGCATGATATCCTACGTGAATGGGTGGATATTATCTGTATCACTTCTATGGAAGTTGCGTCAGGAAGGTGTTACAGGCATTTGTAGTTGTTTACAGCGTAGTTGAACAACTAGAAATTGGAGAAGTTCTCAGGGACTGGTGTGGGGAGCTGTCTGCCCTAAGGGAGCACAGGAGTACCAGGGTTCTCTCTGCCTTCATCTTTACAGTATTGGTTTTCTCTCTGTCATTCTCTCAACTGTAAGATAAGACTGATGATGTTTTCCTTCCCAGGCACAGATTAATTACACATTCCTGGAAAACCTTTGAGTTTGCTCTTGCTCTCAGGAGAACAACCAGGCACTGTAGCACCAGTGTCTGCCAAATCCTTCCACTGCTGGTGAGCACAGGTGAGGCAGCACGAGTGGAAATTGCCACTCCCAAGGGCCTTGGTCCCTCCAGGGATGTCTGTTCCATGTGCTTGTGTTTCACTCCAAAGTGCACCTTTGGTCAAGGGTGGCAGAGGGGCAACCACCTCAAAGGTGTTGAATTCCTGCAGGTTTCCCAAGCAAGGATGGGACAGGCAGCTCAGAGAGGCCCCAGCAGCACTTTCCATGGGGCACAGGACTACAGTGTGACCTGTACCTGTGAGGGGGACACTGGGGGCCATGAGAAAAAGATGGATGCAGAGGTTTCACTTGGATTTTGCTGCTTATGTACATGCATGAAGGAATCCAGCCATGAGGCATGGGAAGAGGCTGAATTAGTCCAGCTCTTCACAGACCTGATTAGTCTTAGATCAGCAGGATTAGTTTTTACCAAATTTCATGAGCTGGCATGACCAGCAGGACTTGACCCCTTTCCCCTCCCTTTCCTGAACTCAGCATGACTTAAAGCATCATGCTGTTCCACTGCTTTCTATATCATTTTTCATGTATTTAGTTCGCTGTTTTTAAAGGGATAATGCAGCTCCCCAGTGCAAAGAAGGTGAAAGTTTTGTTCCTCTTTCTGAGCTTCATCTCCCAAAATAGATCATCAGATAATTGCATGCATAGAGAGCTCTTTCCTGTGTGATATTCCATCTCTCTGTTCAGACTAAAACATTAGGTCATAGCCTTCTTGGCATCGGTCCCAGTCCTACAGGGCAACAGCAGCCTCGGGCAGGGGACTAATTCAGGAAGCTTCAGAAGAAAAAGGTGAGGGGGTCACAGGAGCAGGATCTTCAGGCTCCACCACTTACTGTGGGGCTGGGCATGGTGGCCCTGGCTCATATCTCAGCAGCAGTAGGTGAAACACACCTCCAATAAAACCAGGCTTTGGTTCTCTTTGGCCCCTCTCACTGCCCAGGTAAGCGTGAAAATCCATTGGTTTCCATAACATTGTACCAGTGAAGCTGGTCCAAATTGCCACACCAAGCAAAAGGCAGCTGGGGAGCACAGCTGGGATGCGTTTCATGGATCCAAAGTGCGAGTGCTCTTTGAGACTGTTCTGGCACAGTCCTGGCAGGTTGCCTTTGCAACAGTCTCAGGCAGAGCAGTCTTGCATTTGCTTTCCACAGCAAGTCCCTGAAAAAATGTTTCCTTTTTGAAATCATCTTGAGGGCTTTGTGAGTTCAGTAACCAAGATGTCACTGACCCGGCCAGAAATGTGATGCAAGTGCTGTCTCACCAGCTGTTCCTCTGCAACAGAGAGTACTGTGTGAACATGCCCCTGATCAAACAGGTCATATTCTAAATGAGGATGTTACACTATTTTTGATTACTTGAAATGCTTTATGAATAAATTGCTTTTGCAGAAAATATTCATGGAGTAATTCCAAGAAAACATGCAGACATCAAATTCTCAGCAGACGAATCTTGAACAGGAGACAGTGTTGTGTTTGACAGCTGTTTGCTGTGCACAGTCCACACCATCCTCCTCTGGGAACTGGAAGAAAAATTAATTATTCTAAAGGCAAATTTGAGTTATAGATGATGTTAGAAGTTCTTTTTCCTGTTAAGTTTCACTGCAGAGACTCACTCATTTAGAAAGACACGAATATAGTATAATTGGGGAGCAAATGTGATACTTGAGGCCAGAAGTGTGCTTGGAGAGGAGGTGGCATGTTGAGTGTGCTCATGGGCTGTGCATGGGGGAGCACTGGGAGCCCAGGAGGAACCATCAGCCCCCTTGCAGTGGCAGGAAAGACCATTTGGCCAGGGAGCATTTGGTAACCGGCAGGGTTGGTTTGCACCAGCAGAAGTTTGCACAGACCTCATGGAGGGCTGGAGGTGCGATGGCAATTTGTCCTGTCCCTGACCCAAGGATTACTTGGATTTTTATAAGGATTACTCCCACTGAGGTAGGAGAAAGAGGATTAATCTGGTTTGTTTGGAAGCACATATGGGGAGAATGGAGAATAGAGATGAATTATTTGTATGCTTCCTCAGATAGCGTCTGGAGAACCAGCTACGCATAATGTAATTAAAAGCAAGATAGAAATTATGGTTCAGAGAGCAGGAGCTGCTGTGATTATTTATGATGCTGATGGATGGAGAGGGGAGTTTTGCAGTTGCAGCATTAGTGTGCCCTGCATGGGGGAAAGGCCAAGTGCTGCTGCTGCCTCCTGCACCTGGCAAAGAGGGCAGAGTATGGTTTGCTGCTATGCTTCATTGCTGGGTCCTCCCAAGAGGGAAAGTCAGTGTGCTGGAGGAGCAGAAACAGCACTGAAGAGCATACCAGTATTGGCAAGTGCATTGCTTGCTGGTGTTGATGCACTCTGCCTTCAGGATTCACCAGCCCTTACTCAGCCATGCTTTGCTGGTTTGCAGCAGCCTTCCTCCCACAAGGTGTTTCCAAAGCCATTGGACATCTGGTTTGCTCCTTCTCTTTGTGCTCCTTGATAGATTCTAGTTTTTATGGAATCTGAGCAGCAAGAAGGAAATGCTTTTGGGAACCCAGCCTGTGGCCACAGGTACCCTTCTCTGGGATGTGTGGGGCTGCTCCCTCAGAGACTGCCTGGTGAGGCTGTTTTTAGGAGGCTCAGATCAACCATAGCAACAGAAGGCTCAGCTCCTACAAAGCCAAGCTGTAATTTCACCTGCTGATGCTGTGACTACATTTTGCTGGTATCTTGTCTGTAAGTAGCTGGTTATCCACACAAACTGCTCTGCTGATTCCTGGTGAGACCCATCCCAGTTTCCCACTGCCTTGCCATGGCAAGCAGTATGTTGTCCCAACTCCTGAGGGAGGGGGTGGCAGCACTGTTTCAGGACTGCTCTTAGACTGTGGTGTGGAAACAGAGTTACTCTGAAGGATTTGATGCATTGACCAAGAAAACCATCTAGGGGTGTACAGAAACAGGCAGCTGATGATGTGGCACGGTACCCCTTTATCAGATCAGCTGAAACATTTTGGAAGTAATTGACTACAGAATTGAATTGTTATCAGAGTAAACCGAAAATGCTGACTCCATGAGACTGGTTTGCAAACTGTGTTTGAGGTTGGCTTGGCCTTGCTTCAAGGCTCATGCCCCTTAGGGCAAGCAGAAAATGATCCTTTGGTTCTGGAAAGCCTGCTTTGGTATTTAGGGTCTGAGCAGAGGCAGCATGTGTGTAACTGCCTGCAATTCAGCATGCTGGGGGAACCAGCAAACCCAGGTGTGTCTTTTTTGGTTACTGATTCTTACTTGATATTTCTTAACAAGGTGATTGCAATTAACCAGTAGCTGTGATTCAGTTGGAATTGCCCCCTCCAGGTCTTGAGGAGATATGTGAAAACTCACACCGTGGTCTGTGACACACTGTGCACGGAGGCTGTTGCCTGGAGATTTTTTTTTGTTAATGCTTAAAGGTCATAATTACCATCAAAGGAACACAAATATCCACAGGAAAAATGTTTCTACCAGGCATCAAATCAAGGATAGGTGAAAGTCTCCAGTGTGGAGTCAGATGACAGCATTAATGAAGACAAAATGGTATCAGTTTTGATTTCTCTCATTATTTGTGTGAATCTGGATGTGAAAATTGACTGAATAGTATTTATTAATGATGTGTATGGAAAAGAGGCTTAGGCCTGGTGAAGAATTTTTATGGGGTAGCTTTACATCTTGGAGCCTCTGGGATCCCAGCTGTCCAGCAAGGAAAATACTGCTCATGTGTCCCTAGTTTCTAAGGGAGCAGATAGCTCTAAGATCTGCCCTTTTTTCTGGTAGGTGAACAGAGCGCAGACAATACTCAGAGCCATATCCTGGAGAGGCTCAGGTGCATCCACGTGTGATACCCTCCAAACACAGGGAGCTCCTCAAGAGGGGGCCAAGGGGCTCCTGCTTGGAGAAACTGCACAAACAGCAGCATCTCAGCCTGATGGGGAGAGCAGGGAGTCTCCTGAGCACCGCCTGGAGCTGCAGTTCTGGGCATGAGGCTGCCAGCCATGTGACTTGCCAGAAGGTGTACTCTCGTACAAGGTCAGGTGGTGTATATCTATGGTCATTTGTCAGGTTCTTTGAACAAGAAAATCCAGGGAAGCTGGCGGGGATTCAGGTGACCCTGCAGACATAGGGGCAGATGTCTGCATGTGGCTGCTGTTTGCAAAGAACAGTTTTGTCATAATAAATTATTGAGTCATGAAATGAATTTGCAAATCTGCAAAACCAAAGGACAGGGAAAATGGGTGGCTTTCAGTCCCACAGCCCTTGTACTCTCTGTCTCGGGCACTGGGGCCTGAGGTGGACTGTGGCTCTGCCATGGGGTGACCAGCTGAGAGAACCCTGTGTAGCAAATCACGGAGAAAGTCGCAGGGAGGAAATGGAGACCTGTCAGGAAGCTAAAGTGACACATCTTGTTTTGTATGGTACTAACATTGCAGTGTGGCCTGATGGGAACATGACAATAATCTGCAAGATACTGCAGTAGGCACAAGGACAGTTTCCTGAAATTTGTGAGGTCAGCACTGGGAGTCCTAGGGTGTCTCTGCTTTCCCACGTAAGTTGTTTCAGCCCCCACAGTGAGGCAAATTAACCTTTTCCCTTTTATAGCATATCATGAATCCTCTATTTTTCCTGCTTCACTGAAAACAGTTGTACCTTCTCCTGGGAAAGGGAAATTAATTGTAAGGAGTTCAAAGAACAAAAGCTGAGCAGGTGGCTTTCTAGATTATACACTTTTCTTGGCAAGAACTGCTTCTCTGAGCAATGTGCCTTCCTGCAAAAGTGAAACACCAAGAGCACTCAAATTCCCTGGGACAGGAGCAGCAGCAGCTGGAGAGTGAAGGCTCTGCAGAGTGAAGCTGAAAGGATGAATCTGTTTAACCGCACATCCCATTAAAACCGGCGGCTGGACAGAAAATTGCCTCTAACGGCATCCAGAATGGCTGAGACGTCAGACAGGGATTTAAGGCCGTTGCCTGTGTAATTATGTCTGCCAGAGAGACTCAGTGTGGAGCACAGCCCTGCCTCTGCCTCCTGCCAGGGTGCAGGGTCAGCCCTGGAGCACAGACAGAGTGGGGCAGTGGGGCCTGGCACCTGCCCTGCTCAGCACTGGGGATGATGCACGGGGGGGATGCCAGAGCGGGGTGAGAGCCTCTGAGCTCGCGTGTACTTCAGCAAGTGAATGTCTTCATCTTGGAAAAGGCACCTCAATCCCGTGAGGTCCCTGCTGAGTGCTTGGTTTGTGCCAGATGGCAGTGGAATAGGCCATAAAAGCACTGTTTTTGTAGTGCCCATGCAAGGAGGGGAGAGTTTTGCCCTCTTTTCCTGGAAGAGCTCCTGTGGGACTTCTGGACTCCTGTGGCTGAGACTGTCATTTTAACAGTATTGTATCCTGCTGCAATGTTTGTGCATCCTGCATCCATCAGGTGGGGCAGTGTGTGCTCCCTGGACACACGAGGGACATGGAGACAGTGCAGAATTTGGCTGATGGGGACCTGAGGTCTGTAGCAGAGCAGGGAACCAAACTTCTCCCCAGGAATGCAGTGCAGATCTTTGCCTTTCCCATGCAGCCCTGTTCTCTGTGTACTACCAAGTACAAGATAAACTTTTAACCTCAGGGTTAAGCTTTTCTTTAAGACAGATGACAGAGAGATGATGAGGGATAAAGGTAATTAATGATATCACTCTGTCTTTCAAATACAGGTTGTTTTGTGAGTGATTGGACAGAAACTTCTGAAAGCAGAATTTAAGCAGGCATAAGATTAGCCAAGATTAGTAAGGATTTCTGCCTGATAGCCTAAATCTAAAGTCTTTCAGTTAGTAATCCTTCTTTCAAGTCAATGAATTTTCTTTTAGGAAGGAAAAAATAAAGGTTATACAAGAGAGTTCAAGAGTTTCACTTATCATGTGGAAGGATTTAGAGCTGTTTCCAGTGCCTAAACTGCTTCCACCATTTAAGGGAGCCCATACCGTTGTCTCAGAGGAAGCTCCTCTTGTGCTGTGCTGATGCTTACATGGAGAGTTGCCCAAAAATGCTTCAGTTACAGAATTTTCCTGGTCCCTTCATATAATGGTATCTGAGTTCATCCTTTAGGACAAGATGACATACATTTTTTTCCTCAGAGATTGTTCTACGTGGAAACCCCAGTCTGCATAGCTTGAGCACAGGCTGCAGGTCAGCGGAGTCTGTGTGGACCAATGACTACACTTTGCTTCAGTAAAATTGCCTGTGTATCACACTGATGGTGGGAGTTTTGTGCTGAAGGGGCACAAAGGCTTCTTGCAACTGAAGCACATTCCCACCATGAGTAGGACATCCCTGCAAAGGGCTCTGCACTGGCAGTGGTGTGCTGTGAGCTGGGCTGCATGTCATGAAGGCCATTTGCCATCCTCCTGCAGGCTCACACAAGGTACCTCAGGTTCAAAGACCTGTGCAGTTACCTGGGTCTCATTTTTTGGTGTTTCCTAGTAGATGATGAGGAACTTTGCTGGGCTGCCAGAAGGTCGTGCCTGACTGCAGCAGACGTGTCCTGTAGGATGCAGAGGGAGAGGCTGGCAGAGCTGACCTGTGCAGGGAAGTTAAGAGCCTTCTCCTTAAACAAAAACTGTGAGCCCTTTGCTTTCCCCTTCAGAAAAGTGGGCTTTGCTGCTCCTCTTCCACCACCATCTTCCCCTAGTTAGCAATTTCCTGACTCTGCTTTCTGCATTTTATTCTCCCCTGTCCCTTTTTTCCCTTCTCCACTGTGAGTAAGGTGCTGCTCCCTGGCAGTTGCCATAGAGACAACACTCTTACCTCTGCTTTTCTCTTCTGCCCCTCTAGCATAGCCAGTTGCATCATTCCAAACGTGCCAGCCTGCCCTGCTCCCAGCCAAATGAGCAGGCTGTGCTGCAGAATGATGAGCTGAGTACCCCTGTCCCAGATGGATGCCTGAGCCACTATATAGTACTTCAGGATCCCAAGAAGTTGTACTGATTGCTGCAGTGTAGCGAAGGACACTGAGTCTCCAAGTAGTGCCATGGCAGGACTGGACCCAGAGGTCTACTGGCTCTTCCCAGTTCCGGGCCTTGAAATCTCATGCAGCTGTTGGCCACAGGGGACTGGACACAAACCGTGGCCATCTTCCATGGGAAAAAAAACTCAGTCCACTTTCTACCTTCAAGCTGCCAGGGGCCCTGATCTCCTTGTGTGCAATGGCCAGAGCAGAGTGCCAGTGTCTGTGAACAGTAGTGGAGTGTCATAAACCCCTCTTGGGTGGGGTATGCAGGAGAGAGGCAAAGAAGGAACAGGGACTTGATCAGGGTCACTCCTTTCATTTCCCTCTTGCAGTGCCCTGGCTATGACTTCAGGTTGCTGCAATCTGTAGCTGACTCATAGCAGCACTGAGAGATTCAGTGCTGATGACTGGCTGAAAGATGAGAGGTAACTGGTTTTTCTCCCAGTCTAATCTCACACCCCAGGGAGAAGAGATCATGTGGAAACAAAGTGCTGAGAGTTAGTGTCCTCTGCTGACCTCATGAATATGATTATCTGAAAGGATAACTTTTACTTGGCAGATTTGTGTGTGCTGTTCTGGGTTCAAAATTATCAATATGCCTTCAAGAAGCTTATCCTAAGTAATTCTGACAAATTATTGAAGTAATTTGAGCACTCAAACTATACTGAAACCTTAAACTTATTCCTGTTCAAAAGCTTGGCTGCTGGGAATGCACTATGCAAGATACTAATTTTGCCTTACACTTCCTCTAGATGATTTTCTGACAGAAGAGAAGCTTTGTTCTTTTGTAGTGCAGTACATAAAGCAACGTGGCCACTCCAAACTGAGTCTAGATTTGATCAGGTAGAGATAGATGTATGGAAGAGCCTGTATTTTCCTCCTGTGTTTGCAGACATTTAGAGGAAATGTTTCTTTATATGGCAAAAATGAACAGAACAGCAGAGAACCTTGAAAAGTTCAGAAGGAGGAGTGTATTTGAACAGTTTCTCAAGCACTGCAGGACAAATCCTGTCCTGCTTCCACCTACATTGGAATAAAGGAGGGAGATTATGAGCTGAGTGATACCCCTAATGTGCAGCAACAGTTAATTGTTGGATGTTACAGAAAATATTCTCTTTGTCACCTTCAGTAGGGCACAGGAGATTTGACTAGAGGTGGAATCACAGAGAGATGACTGTCTTCCCTGCAGAGACTCAAATGGAAGAGACACTTTGACAGGGTAAATTAGATGCAGGACAAAGACCTTCTGATCACAGCTGGTTTCAATGGGCTTATTTGAATGGGAAAACTCTGAGCTGAGGGCAAACTCTGCTGATGACTCAGAGTTGTGTGTTGCAGTGAAGGAATTGTAGGGTTTTTATTTTCAGTACTTCTGAGATTTCCTGTTTCCTACTGACATTGCTACTAAAATGTTAAAAGATCTGAAGAGATGGAAAACAGCCCACTTGCGATGTTTGCTTTCCTGCTGAGCAGCCCCTAGCAGGGCAATTTTACCAATCAGTCAGAACCCTAAGAAAATTTTGCTGCAACTTTGTAAAATCTGACTCCGTCCTTCAAAAGAGGAAGCATTGCCTGTAGAGAGCACGCTGACTTGGCCCTCTGAAGCCTAAAGCTGAGTTTGAGATATCTCACCTTGTTTTGGGGACGTGCCTAGTCCTTGTCCTCTTCTTTAGAAAGTCTGAATGGCATTTTTCTAGTGAGGCTGGGCTGTTACAAGTTCTTCCTGGCAGTGACAGTACTGTATGTTTGAGGTCCTGCCACCACAGCACCTTGATATTTTCTGGAGAATTCTTGCTTTACCTCTAGGATACCTATAAAAATTGAAATGTGGGATGTGGAAAGTACAACAGTAGTTCATATAAAAATGGCTTCTGTCATTACTCTCTAGGACACTGGATTGTGGGTCAAGGCTATTCAGCTACGTGACAACTGTCACTGCCTCGGGATTTTCAGGCTGTTATTGCTTTTGAAGATTGCTGCTTGTCCTGTGGCTGATGGATGAGTGTTTTGGGGCTCAAAGCTGTCCCAGCAGCACTTCTGAGCCACAGGATTTTAACTATGAAATAGTAAAAAAACCAAGTCACTACTTTCTCCCCCTGCTGACTAGAGAAAATAGATCCAACAGATAACAGTTCTGAGATGAGCCAGATGTGGATGTTTCCCCCAGAACCTCAAACCCTGTGTTTATGGTCCCAGCAGCTGCTCATGTGCACGTCCCCTCCAGTGTGGCTGACCTGTTCTCCCAGGGAAGCAGCCAATGACTCCAGAGCCTGTCTGGTTCCCCAGGTGGCTGCAGCAGCACCATGGTGGGAGTGACAGGTTTAATGTTATTACAGCACTGCTGAACGATGTTGCTGGAGCTGAAATAAAACTGAAGTGGCTGAAGCCAGAGGCTGTGAAAGATGTTCCAGATGTCCTGATCACTGTATAATTTCCAGAAATGCATCTGCATTTCTTCTCCCATAGTATTCTGAAAAAAGATTAGCAGTTCTCTGAGGTAGCCTGAGCACCAGCTTGTTGAGGGCTTGTTTTGGGAAACTCATCATGACCTCGCCTTTGTAGGCTGTCATGCCTGTGGTGTCACTGTCCCCACTGTGTGGTGTTTATGGACAGGGCCCAGTACAGCCCTGTGGTACTGTTATCCTGGCTGCATTGCCATGCACAGCATCTGCTTCTTCCAGAGACAGATCAGAAAGCAAAGGAGATGAATGTGTCCCATATTAACACATGTATGTAATCAAACACACAAAGGAAAGAAGGTGGTGACTTCAGTGGAAGTCATCTGAGTGAAGCCAAAGGTGCTTATAAATGTCCACTTCTTCTTCTTCTTTGCCAAGATACTGTTTGCCAAAAATAAAGAGTTGTGGTTTGAGCATAAAGTCTGCCTTGCTTTAGGGTTGGAGAATCCCAGAAGTTTTTGTGTTTGTTTGTTCCCCCTTGCATGGATTTCCTGGCTATTTCTGCTTGAAAGCTTTACTGGACAATGACTGAATCCTTTCGGCTTGCCTGCCAGAAAGCAGATTATCACATTTTGCAGACAAACCCAAAAAGAGCTTGGATGCTTCTCTTGCCCTGAACTTGCCCCCAGATCTCACAGGCCATTTTACTGAAGCTATGTGGCAAAAGCCTGTGTTTCAGTGTCTTCAAAGGGAGTCCTAATGAGCCATCTTTAATAAAAAGATTGGGTCATACTCCAAGGAGTATGAGCTGGGCTGCCTTGGGCACCAAGTTGTGATGCTTCTGTTTCATGTAAGGTCCCATAAAAGGGTTTGTATGACCAGGTGTCCAAGGCTCAGCATTCATGTTAAATGGACCCTTTATGCACAATGTTTTGTGTCCCAAAAGACAATGTAATCAAATGCTGATTGTAACAATAACTTGCTTCCTGCAACATACTGAATAAGATGCTGGATCAAAGTCATCTCTTGGACCTGATTACTTACACCTTTCCTTATTTTGAGACCAATGAGTCAGAAATGAGCTTTCTTTCACACAGAAATGTGCTCAGCAGCTGGATGTCCACTACATAAGTAGATTCTGGTGCTGTTTCAGGAGCTCTGCTCAGCACTTTTTTCCCAAAAGAGATCCAAGGCAAGGTGTTGGTCACCTTGAGGTATGACCTAACCACAAAGGCTGAGATCTTTGGATTATCAGTTTCTAATGGCATATTGCAATGAGGTACCTGGAAATTAACCTATTTTAATTATAGTGATCCATAAAATCTTGATGTCTGACACTAGGCTTTGCAATGCCGTCTGTTGGTCACTGCAATGTCTAAGCCTGCTCTCTCAGGCAGACTTCCTCACTAAAGCAGGGAGAAGCCTTGTCCTGAGGTCTGGACCTCTCTGGAGGCCCGAGAGTATTTGTTCTCAGCCAGGTGGGTGGCTGGGCAGAGGTGTGGCCTGGGAGGCTGCAGTTGCAAAGGGCATGTTGCACCTGCCTCGCTGCTCAGGGCTGGGTAGTCTCAGTCTTGAGGCCACTGGGATTTGAATATGAGGCTGATTCTTCAGAGGCAGCATCTGTTCTTAGTGCTATCTCAAACTTTTGTGCAAATTCTCTAGCAAAAATAAAGTTTCATGAGGAAAGTCTAACCACAAATCAACAGAGATGGTAAAAGGCAGTGGGTAGGAAAGAAACTTGCTCACCTCCAGTCTATTTTAATTATATGTTGTGAAGTAAAGGGGCCTTAATGATGCTAGTCAAGCATCCTCAGAGGAACAGAACTATCTGCATGTTTTATCTTCAATAATACTGGGTTTTTTTTCCTTTTTCTATAGGGAATCAAGTTACTGCTTCATGAAGCTGATCTGGGGCAGTGTGTGCCTGTGTCCCAAATTCCTGGTAAGGGGAGAGGAGTTATGTAACTGGCACGAGGAAATCAAAACTCCTGCTATGCTGGGCTCACTCAATAAAAATGGTATCATGGGAAAAGACATGCCAAAGTAGGCTTAAATAAACAGCACAGAGGCAATGGACCTGCATGACATATGGAAGGGTTACAGGGATGACACAGTAATTTTAGTTGTGATTTAAGAGTTTAAAGGAGTGATGGCAGATTAGGGGTAAATCCAGAGTTCATCTGTGTGTTACAAACAGCTGCTTTTTTTCATTAGAGAGGTTTTTTCTTTTACTTTTGTTTTTCTCTATCAAGTCTTAGCTGTCTGGTGTGAAATCTGGCAGTGTGTGTTGGATCAGAGCATGTTCCCACTGAAACCCAGTGTAAAGGCTTCCAAAGGCTTGTCAGTTTTCCAGGGTCTATCAAACTTCACAAATATTTATCAAGTAGATAAGCTTTTACAGCAACTCATTCTAAACCATTGAAGTTACTTCTTGGAATAGATAAAATTTGTTAAGAAAAGAAACCCTCTTAAACTTTCCTAACAGATAGCAGTCCAATGAGAGCTAGCCTCCTAAATACCCAGCATAAAAGGGAAGAATAGCATGGCATTTGATTTCCTGAGTGCTAAGAAATGAGCTAAGAACAACAAATATTGTCCCTGTTTGATTTGAAATGGAGCCATGCACATGCTGGCACTCCTTGCAGTTCTGCAGTGTTTTCCCACCAGTGCTGGAGCCTTTGCGCAGGCACTGTGTGTATGTGTGCTTCTGTAGATATTTGGAGCTACCCAAAGAGGTTCACACTACTCACCTGTCCCCCATTCCTGATGTAAATACAGATGGGCTGCAGCTCCTTTCTGAAACCTGCTTGGTTTCATTAGGTTTTTAAAGAATTATTCTGTTGTGTCTGAAAAACAGGAGCAAGACTATAGACTACCTTATATTATTCACGTGCATGCTATGTTTTGGCTTTCTCAGAACTTGATGTAACAGAGGTACATTTTCATTGCTCAGATCCCCCTCTGTTCCTCAAGCCTAATAAAAGCCATCTATAAATCAGCAATGTAGTGCTTTCACAATGCTGGGGCACACACAAGAGGGGTATAATGTACTTAGCAAAAGGCCAGACTAACTTGAAGGAATTCCAAGCTAAACAGAGACCCTTTAACAACAAGTTTCCATTGGGCTCTGACAAGGCTAGACCAGGATGTGTGAAGGGCAAAATAATCTCTCAGCACTCAATAGAAGCAGAAGATCTATAAACCGTGGAGGATCATTGGCATTTCTTGCTCTTTGCCTCCCATTTCTGGTCTGAAAATTGTCAAGGCCCCAGCCTCTTCAGAGCCTCATCACTGCAAAAAGGCACTCTTCTCTGGCAGTCTTAACTGTCTTTGGAACAGAAGGATCCACTGCAAATGCCCCTGGTGTCCCTCTGTGGTCATATGCTATTATGCGCTGATTGCAGAGTTTTACTGGTCCCTGTGAAAATGAGAATATGCCCACCTTTGTTAAATGTCAGTGTTTTCAGAGATGTGTAAAGAGATATCAGACAATGTGGGGAGACAGGAAAGATAATGTTGCTTGCTTTTCCCTTTAGGATTGGGATAGCTGAGTTTCCCAGAGGTGTTCCCCTTTCTTCCACTGCTTGGAATTGAAAACCAGGGCCAGTGACAAAGGCTTAGCTATAGCAACAGTGCAGCTGGGAATGCTCATTACAAACAGGCTGTGTCATTATGGTGGTGTGGAAAAACTCTTCAGAACCTCTACTGCCTTTCAAGAACTCCTAACTTCCTTTCTTCCTTCCCTCCTCTTGGCATGCTCTTGCAGTCTATTGCTAGGAGGCCTTGTGCATCCTGCTTTGTGTTTGTTCTCCTACTCCTGGCCCTTGGTTCTTCCATTAGCTGTTTTCAAACAACCTATCTTGCCAGTCTAATACACACTAGACACCTCATTTTAGAGAAGAAATGATCCCAGGTGCTTTTCTGGCTTGCTCTGTAATATATTTTTCTTAAACAGCAGTTTGATTTTTAATCTTCCAAAAGTGATGTAGCACTTGGAAGAGCAGCCTCATTTGGGGCCTCCTTTACCTGCTGTTTCATGTTCCTGTGATGAGAATTACAAGTAAAATCACATTTCAAAGTCCTTAATCATGGTCTGAAGGTTAATACCAAGGGGTAACCCTCTGCGTTTCCCTCACATCTCAGCAGGAATACTTAGCTCCTGTGCATGTCGCAATTTCTGTGCCATAGCAGCTATTGCCTGGTTGTTACTGAAATGACAATAGAGAATCACTTGGTTGGAGGTAAAGCTGAGCTGTGATACGTGTTCAATCTTATCAGACCCAAGTGTGAGGCTAAGTTCCAACAAGAGTGATGATTTCATCCTTTAGATACAAAGCTAAATATTCCAAATTTGTGAGGATAAAAAGAAAGACATCATTTTGTATGATGGGATGTTGTTGGTACTTTTTCTGTCTCCTACCTGAACTCAGGCACCTAAGGATTATATTTTTCTTGGAGAGTCCTTTTTCTCAGCTGAATTTACAGCATCTATGCTGAGCTCTTACGGCTTGATCCAAAATCTGCACAAAGAGATAAAATATTTTCAGAAAACTTCTATTTAACTTTAATGCCCGGTGTCTTTTCATGCAGAATTTGCTGTGATTTAGCAGTATGACTACTGCATAATATGCTATAACTAGCATAATCTACCTAGCTTTGTAGAGAGATGTAATTAAAAGTAAAGACAAAATTGCATGGTATTGGGAGAAAGAAAACATAATACACAAGAAGGCTGAGAAAACTTTGTTTCTTCTCCATAATATTAGCTGGTTATTAAGAAACATAACTTCTCTAAAACCCCAGCCTTGGATAGAATCACTGCAACCTTACAGAACAAGACACACATTACAGTAGGATGTGTTGAAACACCCTTTTCTTTGTTTATATGTAGTATCCCTGGGAAGAAACAAACATGACCTTCATTTACAAATGAATCATTGATTAAGCAACAGTTTAAAAAACAACAAAAAAAAGAGAATAGCAAAAAGAAAGAAAAAGGCACAGCAGATATTTTGATGACTAGTCAAACAGCAGACAGCAGAGTCTCTCTTGCCTGGTGTGCATCATTCCAATGTCACTGTTGTCCCTCCAGAGGATTGGTGTGGTTTGTAGATGTACACAAATATTGGGGATTGGCAGACTCTTAGAAATACAGCCTCTCTCACCTCTTTGTTCTTAGTACCTCATCAGCCATGCTCAGCAGAGTATAACGAGCCCTTTCGATACCTTAATTTCTCTTTTCCATTTTAGGGTCTTCTTTTTAAGCCTTCTTTTGGTTTTGCTGTAATGTGATGCTAGTTCTTTTGTAAGTCAAAATGTTGACAGGCATATGCTTGCTCTGTAGGTTTAGAGCTTGTGGGTGAATAACGTGTGTGTGTGCCACATTTAGCTTTGTGCTTTGCTGGAACAGTCTGTTCCAGCACATGGGGGTTTTTTCTCCTAGACCTCACCTTTCTGCCCATATGAAATGCAAGCTGCTTGCTATTTCGTATCACGCTCCTTTATAATGAGCTAATTCTTTTCCTACACTGTCTTCCTCCTACTGTCCCACCTTTTCTATATCTCTGTAGAATTCTTTAAGCAGGAAATGGAATCTCTTCAAGCCAAGTGCTGTGCTTGATTGCTGCTGTTTATTTAGGGTAGCTATAGTGCTCTAGTGGCCCAGAGTCCCTGTAGAAGGCCATGGAGACCAAGGTCATGGTTCCCAGGGAACTGAGAGACATTGAATTTGTGTCCTATGTTTTGATGGCAAGCTCTGGAAGGAGAGCCTAGCCATTTCTTAATGTCTCTATTTTCTTGCAAGCAAAAGCTGCAGTTGCCATGGATATGTTTTGAGATCTTAAATGGAAGGGGAAGAGGTTGAGAAGGCACATGCCATGGTGCAGCCCGTGCACTTACACCACAGTCTCTTCAGGAGCTGCAGCCAAGTAGACCCAAACTCAGCAATGTGAAGTCCAAACTCGTCTACTAAATGGACAGAAGGAACCTGGACAAACAGCAAAGAAGGAATGTGATTAATGAGTGCCAACCAGCCGTGAATGCTGCTCAAGAATCAGGAGTCAGTGCACCTGCTGCTCAGCAGCAGCACGCAAAGCTACTCCTGTATCAGTGCTGTGTTGGGAGCAGACTCCAGTCCTTGAAACACACCCACTGTGTGCTGCTATTGGAGCAGAGAGCAGTCATGTAAAAAGAAACAGCACATCTGAATTTCCTCTCCATATTTATAGTTCTGTTCAAGGTAACTCAACATTTTTCCTAGAAAGGAACCATCTTAAAACTATTGGGTGGAATAAGAAAAGTGCATGGGTGCTTTCCAGAGTCAAGCCATCTCCAGATTCTAGCATTGATGTAGGAATAGATTTGGACTAAAAATACCCATTGATTTCATTTTTGGCAGGCAAAAAGCAGCTACTTGAGGGACAACATAGGTAGTTTGGGCTCTTGAAGAAGTGCCTGCAGACTTGATCTGGGATTTATGCAGCTGGCTATACCATCAGAGGTGTACACATTACTGCATTTTCCCCAGCAACACCAGACAGTAACACTTTTGGTGCTTAGTGCTCTTCTGTAACTATGTTTAAAGTTGATGTAGAATGAAAATGTTCCACGTGCCATTGATGACTCCTTGCTTTGGAGGGTGTTGTCTGCTAGGTCAGCTCAGGGCACTGGTTTCAGACGAGCCTGGAAGATTTGTGTTTTAATTCAGAATTGTGCCTACTTTGGCACAAATCATGACAAGAGACATGTTTCTGTTGGAGAAACACACAGTTCCTGGCATACTCTCCTAAAACTATGCTTGTGCTGATCTTCCTTCTTTTCTTTTGTTACCATGCATATTAGACAGACACTTGAATCACCTGGCCTTGCACTCATCAACCTATCCTGGAATCTTCCAGGATTGTGGTGCTTTGGGAAGAAAAAAATCACATAGGGGTCCTATAGACACCATGTGTCCCTGTGTTCCTCTCTCTCCCCGTCTCCCGAGTCCTTCATGATATGCTCGAGCCATTGCTGCAGCATCACCTGGTGCCCCAACCCCGCCATCTCTCTGTGTCTCTGTGATCTGTGCAGCCAAAGTGACAGCCAGGTGACATCGGGGCTGGGTTCATCCTGCAGCCACAGCTGGGGCAGCATCTCCAGCACCATCACTGCATCCCAAAGGCAAGGGCCCCGGGATCTGGGAAGGCTGAGGACCCTGACAGCTTGGGTACTGAGGACCCACAGAGACTCCCAGGACCAAGTCATTTGGGGATGTTAAGGATCCCACTCCCTGGGGCATCCACCTCTGAGGGCTCAATGTGTGTCTGCTTATAGACAAACAATATTGCAAAGAAAAATGTCATCTTAGTAAATATTTATCTGGGTGCCACATACAGTATAAATTTAAATTGGCTCACTGTATTCAGTAACAGGGTTTGCCAGCAAATGGACAGTCTTTGTGTGAAATTCAGTTCTAACAATTAAGGATCTGTCAGATTTCCACCAGATGAACAGTTATTTAATTGAGGATATATGTCCTGTACTATTTAATACATAATAAAATTTTTTTAATGAATATGTGAGCTAAGATTAAGGCTGCTAATTTAATCACTGACAGCAGAGTCTCTCAGTGTGGAAAATAATGCTTTTGCATTGACACATTAATTGTTGCTAATTTTTCTATGCTGTTATTTTACATGCAAAGATCAAAAAAACACCATTTTCCTGGAGGCAGGAATAAAACTGCAAAAGCTATAGAGGAAGCTGGGCAGGGAGCTGTGGTACTGACTTTCTGACAGGAAACAAAAAGTAATTTTGGAGAGGAGCAGAGTCTGTGACTTTTTATTGGAAAAATCAGTCAGGTGGAAAACTCTTGATCAGTTATCCCAGTTGCCTCAACTGGTTCTGAATATCTTATTTCCCAATACCCAGTACCAGTTCCAGGTTTCAGGGGGAGAACTGTGACTTCTTGCTGACCAGTCCTGCACTCCCAGCACACTGATTTCTCCAAAACAGGTTGTATGATTTTGTATGAGTGCTGCATCTGCTGTATGTTAGATTAATATTGTGTGTACTGGTGTCAGGAGACAGAAAGAATAAATAGCCTCTAAGCAGACAGAAGGCTATATTTAGGTCTAAGCTGAGTATGCCCTCTGCCTGCCAAATGCAAAAAATCCAAACCCTAGCGCCTCTTCATTTCCTGCTGGAGACTTACATACGGTTGTTTCCTCCTTGTGTTTTAAAACTTTCAGACATGGTTACAGCCTTGTGTGAGGCAGCTGCTCTGTGACAGCCCCAAGACCACATGGTGTGACTTCCACCATGGGCCATGGGGCACTAACACAGGCTCTCCCCTGGGGCCTCTCCTCAGCCCTGCCATGGGCCAGAGCCCCACCTGAGTCCCTGCACCAGTGCTGCCATAGAAAGCTGATCCCATCTTTGTGCAGCCATGGCTCTGCCAAGCCCAGTTCCATCCCCAGGGCCCTGCCCAGCCATTCTGGGACTGTGGCTGATCCTGGTTTCCTGCACCAAGCCTGAACCTGACCCCCACTCCTGGGGGTACATCCTGGCCTGGACTTGTCCTATCCCCATGGCCAGGGAGTTGCTGGAGCTGCTCACAGGTTTCCCTGGTCCTTGGCCACAGTCCCCCTGGGAACACCCACTGCCTCTGTCATTCACAGTGTCCAACTTCCAAACACCACCAGAGAAAGACCCCTTCCACCACCTCAGCTAAGAAATATTAATCCAGAAAGGACAGAAAGGGCTAAAGTGTATGCAAAGGCCGCCTATGGTTCCTGCTTTATGATTTTTCACCAGGAGCACAGGACTCCCCTTTACAGAGGCAGTGTGTCTCTGGGAAGCAGCCTCTGTCATGGTGGAATATAGATGTTCCTGAGTTAGATTTAAATGAAATGCAGTGGATATCACAGAGGAATCCAGCTGTGAGACTCAGCATGGGCTAAATTTATCCTGTTCTCTGCACTCTGCTGTACTCTGGTTTAGAAGTTTGATAAATGGTCCACAGGTCTGAATATTTCAGAAACAGCCTGGCATTACTCCCAGGTTCAAATAGGATGTAAAGACTGCCAAAAGACATTGGGAAAAGTAAAAGAGCTGCTTGTCACCAGCACTCAGAGGACTTTAGCCTTTCAAGAGGAGATTCTGAGCTCCTGATGAGAGCTGACTTTCATAAACTGCATTCTAGTTTTACAATTGTATTGCCAGGCTGGATCTTTTTTGTTCCCAGAACTTCTGAAGTTGCTAAAGAAATTTGTTATTGAAAGCCTCTTTTTTTCTTCCCTTTTACCAAGACTGATTCACCTCAATAATGCTGAGCCTGTGTACACTGTCAGGAGTAAGTTATCATGAAATGGAGAATCAGAGCATACACCTTTGTGGGGAAGACAGTTGAAGAGATAGGAGAGCAATTTCCCCTTCTAGATATTGCTTCCTTCCCTGTGCAGACTATGTGTAGATACGAGTGTAAACCCACCTAATCCATAAAGCCAAACTGTTTGGAAACACATTTTGTAGCATGAAAGTCAGGTTGCCCAGGTCCCATTTAATGCCCAGCACAAAGTAATGTTTCACGACCTGCTCTTTCAGAAAAGGATGGTTTATTTTAAATGTTTCAGTACAGGACTATGTCTCACTGTGCCATCTGTGTTTTGAATGCAGCAGGTTCTGTTGTGTAGCTACGCATATATATATAGTGCATATGTAAGTGAGAGGAGCTAAGGGTGACTATCTACCTGCCTCCACTTCTCATTTCTATGAACTAGACAGACATCTGTATCACTGCTTAACCTCAAGCTAAGATTGGTGGCATTAGGAGCTTTCTACACAATTCACTACTGGAGGAGTAGCAAAGAGTTTTTCCAAAACCAAACGCTTATTTCCAGTATCCACCAGAATACAGGTCTCCTGAATGAACTGCAAATTCAAAACTGACTATGAATGACCAAGGGAATGATAAAAGTTCTTTAGCCAGCCAGGTAAGGCACAGTCTTTGATCTTGGACTGTAGTGAAAATGCTGTTTTGATTTAATTGTCACTTAAATGGGAATAAATCAGAAATAACTCACGTAAATCTTACATCTGTACTTCACTTTCTGGTAAATCTCATAGGCTCAATGGTGATGTGATCTAATTTGAAATGTCTTTGAGAATTTATTCAGAATGAGTTTTACCAGAGTACTCTTTCTATTTGAAAGGAGAAGGTAGGTTAAAAAAAAATAAAAAAGGTATTTTACAAGGAAAATTCAAGGAAAGAACACTCAGCATGAAGGTCTGGTTAGACACATGGTAGTGTTTAATCCTTACTGTTCCTACCCCTTCAGGCCAGGCTTGCAACACTGGGAACTTTTCAGTTCTTGCTCCTGGACCTACTGACTGCTAAGAGGACAGAGCTGTCCCAGCCTCCTCATTTTGTCTTGGCTTAATAAATAACAGTGTAAAGGACAAGATGCAGCATATGCCAAAAGTATATGCCTGTGGGCTCCATATGTCATACAGCTGGAAGGCAGCTGTGTTACAGAAGTAATAAGTAATATAGCCAAGAAACAACCATTATAATCAGGTGTAGGGGCAGCCAAGTGAGTAATACTGCCAGGAGGAATGCCTACAGTACAGCAGTTGTGAAATACTGATTAAGAAGTCCTAAAGTGGCTACTTTCCCCTGACAAGTCATTCCTGCTGAAGCAGGCATGTTTCCAGGCTAATAGTTTCTAAGTGCACTTTCAGGCTTATGTGTTTTGGATGTCTTTAGCTGAAGCTGGTTAGTTCTTCCTGTCTGTATATGCAATGCCTCCTATCATAACCCATCATTTCAGCTTATCATCACACTCCTGGGAATCTTGAGTTCCTTAACAGAACTGACTGAAAACCTCCCCTCATGCATCATTTCCTGGACAATTCAGTCAAACCCTACTAAGACAAGCTTTCTTATGGTAAAAAGAACACTAGATGTATCAGCTGCTATTTTTTTTTATTTATTTATTTTAATTATTATTATTCTTTTTCTTTTCTTTTTCTTCATCTCATCCTTATTGTATGTGAAAGGTGAGGATGAAATCTGCCCCTGTCAGATACTGGCTGCTGTTAAAAATAGACATGTCTCTGGTAAGAAATCTTGGGATGGGGTATTGCTGGCAACCTGATCAAACCTATCACTTTGCAATTTTTGCTTTCCTACTTTGTTTTTTTATCCCCCAGTTACATGAATGCATTGTTGCTCAGAGGTTTGTTACTTATTTTAAACAAACTCTTCCATACAGTAGTTCCAGCAACCTAGAAATGAAGCAAGTTGTTCTGCAAAGGTCAACAATTCATATTATATATTCTATTTATATTATTTAGCCAGTGTTAGAGCTTTATCCCAATATCATTTGATCATTGTGGGAAAAGTCATGTTAATAATATATAGGGTAAAACTGAAAACAGGACTTAATAACATTTCTTGTCTGCTTCAAAACAGCCTTAGGATCTTGACAGCATCTCATTAGGTACAGGCATATTCATGATATTGCTGTGGGCTCCTGAGAGTTATTGTGCTGCACTCAAGGGTATTACTGGTGGTAGTTCTGCCTGCAGTCTGCTCAGCCCCTTGCTACCAAAAGTGTTTGTCAGACTAATTTTGTGATGTATGTGGCCTTTTGAGGTCTCCAGTTAAAAGAAGTGTTAAAGCTACAAGACATTCTTAGCTGTTGACAGCTACAAGACATTTTCCTAATCAAAAGAAGTGAGTTCAGAGTGTGGTTGTTATCGGTGCTCCTGTTCTTTTTTAAACTTTCTTACAGTAATTGTGCCAAATGTCACTCTTTGAAGAACATAAAGGAGCTGATCAAGTTAAATTCCAAGATTGCTTTGTCATCATAAAAGGGTAAGGAGTGACTGCAAATATTCTTTATGAAAAACAAATGGAGGGCTTAAGTTTCTTTCCCTGTTTTTTCTTGAGTGGAGTAAATCCCAATTTGTGGTGGCAGGTATGAGAGGACAAGAATCCTAGGCAACAATCCAAGGGAGAATGTATCCCAGCACCTAAAAGTCAGATAATTGAGAGTTGGTTCCTTCTTGCACACTTGACAATTAGTGAGGAAAGTCACTCTTTCCTCCAGCAGAAAAATGTCCTTCTTTGCTTTACTGGCATTTTCCTACTGGTGTTTGTCAAGTGTCTCTTCTGGAGCATGAATGACCCTTCAGCAGAGAGCTGCTAATATCTTCTACTCTGTGCAATAAAAGCTATTTGGCTTCACTTTTGAGGCTTCAGAGTGGAACTTTACAAGTTTTAAAGAAATGTATGTATGTTGGTGTGCATGTCATACACACACACAGAGCTGTGTATCTACATATAAGGGCAAACTCATAGTTTATTAATGTTCTTGTGGCTGTAAATACTGATGATATCGGAAAATGTAACATGACCTTATAAAAAATAATGTATTAGCACATGGTAAAGTGCAGGCTCCCATTGTAACTCAGTTGCTATTTGCTAATTAACAAAATTAACTTTCTCAGAGACAAATGGGAATTATTGAGTTTTAACTGTTATTTAGATTTTTGGTTTTTAAAAATTTCCATGGCTAATCTCTTCTTTATAAGTATCAGATGTTCTTCAAGGTTAGCTTGTGTAATGCAATGATTAGAGCAGCTGAATTTTTTCGCTGGTGCTGATGACTCCAAATCTCCTGCACATCTGCAGTGTGCACCTACTGCCCTGGAGCAGAGCTACCTGCAATGGCCTGGCTTTCACTCACAGGTACATAGGAAATCAGTTGTGGTATTTGATGTAATTGGCTCAGTTTCATTTTGGGGGGTGGATTTGAGATCTGAGATCTCAGCAGAGTTTAGACAATGTGATCATGCTGAAATGCAGTATTGGACAGAAGTGATAAATATGCTTACTTAGAGATCCAGCTGTCAGTTCTTCTAAAAACTGCTGGATGTGGATACCATTTCTGGGATCACAATGAAAAAGAAAAGTTTGCTTTGGGAATTGTGCTGTCCTTAGTCAACATCTTTTTGTAACTATATAATAAACCTACCCTGTTGCTGTGTGAGCTCATGAGTGGGTTGGCAATGTAGTAGTGAGTCTTTTGATGTCAAAACATTACAATGCACTTAGAGTTGCCATTGGCTAATGCTATTTTAAGTGAGAGAGAGAGTATGAATGAGAATTACAGTAATGGCCATTTATTTGTAGGTCACTGAAGGATGGAAAGCCTCACCCTGCCTGCCTGTGTGAACTTGGCTGTTGATCTACATAGCAGCAGGACCTGGGGTTCCCTGCAAGGTGAGCTTGCACATGCTGCCCATAGACAATGGGCTAATTGTGTGCCTGACAAAATGATCTCAAAGTATCAAGAGTTGTGATATGTGATTGAGATGAAAGAACGGAGAGAGGGAAAATGGAGACAGAACCATAAGAGGGTGATAACAAAGTCTCTTTTGAGTAAAGATCTTGTGATGCTATGAGGCTCCCAATGGGAATAGTGTCACTTCAAGCACTACCTCTTCAGGAACAGATTTCCATTCATATCCCAGCATTTGGCTCTGTTAATGGAATCTTTTTGTATGGAACAGCTGCTTCTGGAGGGCAGGATATGTCATGCTGGTATCAGTCTTCTTACCAAGCTCAATGCATGAAAAAAGCTAGTTTATGCTGGCAAAACAAATAGTTAAGTTCTGCTTACTGAAGAAAAATGCAAAAATGAGAAAACTCAAACTTAAGTACATCTGGCACTTATCCCTTGGATTAGAGGATATCTGAAGCATCTCTCAGCTTCAGAAACCTCAAGAGACCAATTCAGAAATTCACGAAGATGGTATTTTTCAGTGGACCTCCATCCACTTCTCACTGTTATTTGGGACAGAGGAACAGTGTCATTTTTTTGAGTACCAATGAAGCTTTAAAATCTCTTTCACTGAGAACAGCTGAAAAATAAAGAGCCCCTAAGGTGAAAATACAATTGGAAACTCTGTGGCCATTGAAGAACACATCTGTGTTCTGCATATTCTGCAAATATTGAAGCTGATGAGGAAGATACAGCCAGCCCCATCTATCAAGTTGTTACCTTTTACATAAAGGTGAAGACAGTACACTTTAATATCTGGGATTTTTGGACAGGCTTGTGTCCTAAAAAGCTGTAAGACATCAGTTGCAGTTATCACCGGAAATCCAGCAGTTTGCACAAGTAAAGCCACAGGCTTTAAATTTATACTAAAACCATACAAGTATTCTGCACTTTCTTCTCAAGGATAACACTCTTCACCGTCTTATCATTAAAATCTCCTGTGCTTGATGGAAGCAAGAAGGGTAAATTGGTTACAGAGATCTATTTTTCTAACAGCTTTTGTTCCCTGTAAACCATGGGCCGTGCCAGTATCACCTTAAAACATAAAATATGAATACTTGCTTGTATATTTTATGCATTGCTCACATATCTATGCTAAAACTAACATGTCTTAGTCAGCTATTTAATGTTATGTGACCCTTTGTTCTTGCATTCCAATGTCATCAGTGCCACACTGTTAAACATTAGCAATTTAAACATTAAAATTTAAACATTTAACAATTATTTTGAAAAGCACAACCTGACTTCATTAACCTTTTGTAAGGACACTTGATGTTAAAATATGATAGTTAGCGTGTTCTAAGCCTAGTGTGATGATGCACTTCATGCTTTTATTGCTCTTAATGCTGTATTAGCAGGTACAGTTTATCTGTTCATAGACATAATAAAATCATGATATATTTATTTCGCCCTTGGGGTCTAAGGTGCAGATATACTTTGATGTTTATTATAGAAGCTAACAAAACATTTTGGTGGGGCATTAAATACTTAATTGATTTCTGTTAGCAGATGTCCATTAGCCATTTCTGCTGAAAACACTAAAATTACCAACAATACTTCCATATCCCCATTGAGACTGAAACTGGGCAGTTCTCCATGTTTCTTGCTAATATTCAGGAGAGGTTTCATCTCCAAGAGTCCTATTTTCCTGAATAATTGGTCTCAGCTGTCCAGTTTGGCCTCTTAATTATTTCAAATATTTTGTGATTTAATAAAAGAAATTAATAAAATAAGCTTGATACTGATTTCAGCCTCAGGCTTTCTTTTCTCCCCCTATGCACAAGTAGTGAAGATTATTGCTTTTCTAGTAGTAGTATTCTTCCTAGGTATCTTTTTTAGGGACTGCTGTAGAGTTCATCACTGTGCTCTGAGTTCCTCTTATTTGTCTAGGGACTTTGGGTTTTGTGGAGTTTTGTTTTCCTTATGGTTCATGCAAGAACTAAGCCCTAGGCTAAAGATATATAAACAAAACCAGAAATTACGGGGATCTTCTCTCTCAAAGTAATTTGACTTTAATAATTTTTTGTGCTGAAGAAATCCCAAGCAAACTCCTTATTTGGTCAGTTTAGGAGAAGGAAGAGGTCAAGAAGAGACACCAGCTGTCGGATGGAGAGCCTTTCCAAAATCCTTTGGACCAGACTTTAAGGAACACGCAGTGTAGACAAGAACAGTATTTCTGAGTAGATGCGGTTCTTTGATCTTTCCTGGGATGTCCCCTGTGACAAGAGTTTGTGAGACACTACTCTGCTGTTGTCAAAACTGGATCTGAACAATGAAATGGAGAAGGAAAAGCTCTCATTATTTTCCTGCTCATCTACACTTCTTTCTTTTTCCTGTAACTCTTGTGCTCTGGCTGAGCTGGGATCACCAGTGAAACATCTGTGCTTTGTCTGGAGATGGGCAGTGCATTGACTCTGGAAATAACATCAGGGACAACTATTCACACAATGAACTCCCATAGTAAAGCCCTGGATGACAAGATTAACTTTGAGGTCACACAGCTGTGTACAGACACCTGAGCTGGGTTAGGCTCTGATGCCTGGGCCATAGTGCCCTGCAATGCAGGGCACAGGTGTTTCCTCATTCTAGATACATCAGAACTCCAAATCAGGCAGAAACTAGAGAGACACATTATCATTGTCGAGTGCTGGTGAAACTGCTGCAGGAATTCAGTATCTGCTCTTGGTAGATTTGTTTTTAGCTTACAAGGAGTACAGACTTTAAAAAAATATAAAATCTCTTTTGTTGGGCAACTAGCTGACTCCTGATTTTTTATGTACAGGATTCCCTTATCTCCTATCTTCTTGAAAGTGTCCAGAGGAAGCATGACGAGGGACTGTGCCTAGAAGGATCAAGAAGGATCTTGCTTTGAAAGCATTAGATAAATCAGATTCATATCACACTGATAGCTCTGTAACAAACCTAACTTTATCTTCCTTTGGCCTCTTCCTCAAAGAGAAATGCCCTGAATAAGAATCCACAGTGCTTTGTTTAATCTGTAAGAATAACATGCAGTCCTGTTTCTTTCCAATGTAGTCGTAAGCCATATCTCAGGACTGGAATTCCAGTTTCATTGCCTGTACACACTTGGAGGTAAGTGACTGCAGTACACAAAGATCAGAATTTTTATGCATCTCATTCTGTGATTGTTGCTTTTACCTCCTAGTATTTAATTATGGGAAAGCCTTTTTTCTGTCATGCATATGCTATAGTGCTTTCAGGTGCCTCCTTTGTGAAACAGCATGAAACTTCCAGTGAAGTAGTACATTTGTATATGTTATGGATTCTGCTGGAAATAAGCACATTTTCTGGAAGTCATTCTCCAGGTAAGACACCAGAATGTTATACCTACTCTCTTTGTTCCTCCATTTCCCAACTGCATCCTGACATAGCAGTGGGCTGAGTGATCCAGGCTGATCAGGAACCAGTTGCCAACCTCTGCTACAGGATGGCCCTTCAGATGAGCTCAGGAGTGACCATTCACAGCAGGGCACTGTGGCAGAAGAGGTCACTGGCAGTTCTGAGCTGCCTTGGTGGCAAACGAAAACTCAGAGTGTCATTTCAGTTACAAACCCTGCTTAGAAAACAATTCTCAGCAGATTGAGCTCACCAAGCACTCTAGATTGAGACAGTAGAAATAATTTCTCTGACTTCCACTCCCATTGCCAAGAGGAATCAAGGCTTCTGGAGAACTCTGAATTGATCCAGATACAGAGCTGGAGAGGCAGAGAAGGTGAATGCTGCTGGCAGCAGGGCAGGCAGCCAGCATGCTGTTCTCTTCCAGACTTTCATGGCTGCACAGAGCATAGCATCTCCCTCTACCATTTAGTAAATTTATGACATCACCAGCTGTTACCAGGGAAACACAGAAACTACAGATTTGGATCTTGGCAGCTAGGTAAAGAGAAAATATCTTGCTCTTTTGGGGGTCAAATAGGAAGGCTGAAAACAAATTCCAGAACAACTTTGAATTGGAACAAAATTGAGGTAGATCAATAATTCCAAACCAAACAATTTACCTGCTAAAGTGACAGTGTGGTCCCTATTATATTCCTCACAGAAGACAATCATAGGGGATCAAGTGCAAGACATGTAACTTCATGCAGTTTAAACATATCATTCAGACATGAGACCACTGACAACTTCAGTTCTGATCTGTGGATTTAACAAGCTACTTTTAAGGATGTGATATCCTCTGACCAATGATTTTTCAGAAAGTGCTGCCTCTTGAGAAAATTTGCTGGTGTTTCACATCAAAGAAAGTAGGTAGTGTTGAGTTTTGGTAAAATGGTGTGCAAATACCATTACTGTTCTGACAAAGTATGTGATTTTATAGCTTTTAAAAATGCGGGGTTTGTGAGAACTGATGTTTTCAGACATTAATTTTATGACTTTTAGGTGCTTGAGATTATTGAAGTTATGAAAATCACATTTTAGTCTTTTAGTAGCATTAGCTGACATTTTATTTATGTTGCATGTTGAAATGAGAACTCTGCTTTTTAAATTAGTTATTATTTGAGTACTGAGTAGTTGAGACCCAGCCAATATGAGCTCTTGTGCAGGCCTGTTTGATTTCATTCACACTGCACAAGATGTACGGGTGTGTACTTGAGTTACCCAGAAACAAATGCATCTTTGCAGCAGATGGAGCAAGCTCAAGTGGGGACTCCAGCTGAACTCAAGCCTGGAATTGTAACAGCTGCTTTGCCTCTATTAATGCCTGCAAAGCTATGGGCTGTATGACTGGAGATCCCAGGTCATACCTCTACCAGAAAGGCAGAGGTTGTTATGCCCACTAGATGTGCAGAAGATCTGAGACAATCTGTATGGAATGCTAAAGATCTGTGGACTCATCCTGTTTGGCTGTATCTCCACTAAGGAGCAAAATTATGTAGGGAAAAAATCCCTCTAATGCTAATCTGGTGTTAAATATATCCATGATGAAGGTTCTTATGTGGACATTGAGCATATTTCTAGCACTGTTCCACAGCTCTTGTCTTAAAGTGCACAGGAACAAGTTTAATCTGATTTGTGTCCTCCACACCGAAACCCAGGCAAGATCTGGTTGCCAAACAAGGAGTCTCTTTCCCGTTTTGTTGGTGGCCTTGGATCCTAGAATTTCTATGTCACAAAGTAGTTTGCATACAGTCTGGATTTTGTTATCTGCAACATGGTTCAATGTTCCCTGTTGTGCCTTGTTTCAGTGGGATAATGACCAAGGAAACTGCTGAGATATGGATGGATTGCCAGGGATATGTCATGAGAAAGCTGTCCAGAGTCCTCTGCCCACATGCTGTGATGCTGGCTCACATTTCCAAAGCAGGGATGCACACAGAGGAGATCATTACTGCTCCAAAGAGCTTAGTTATCTATGCAAGTTCCTTTTTTATCCTTTAAAGTGAGTCACTTGGAAAGGCTCCTTTTTTGGTCCTCTTTAGTTTGACTGCTGGTTCCTTTTGCTTGTATGCCCAGCCAGAGCCCTGAGACTTGTGACTGGGCCTGCAATGGCCACTGGGGCTGCTGTCATGGTTTATCTCTCTGGAGTGGTGAAAATATAATTCTTCTCAATTTTCTTTTCTTTAAAGGACATCGAAGATGTTTCGGACAAGGAAGGAATGGAATTATTGGGATAATTCATGGACAGCCAGGATGGAGTTCCACCTGCAGACTTTCCAGTTGCAGATTTGAACTGAAATTCCCATGAGAAGGATGTTTTGTGTGGTCATTTCATGGTGTTTGCGGCCTCTGCCATGGTTATAGAACTCAGTGCACTCCTGTGGTCTCCACATATGTCTCCAGTTCCACTTTCCAAATGCTGTGTCCACTGGAGCTACTCTTACATCCACAGGGGATCAGTAGGAAGTACTTTAGCCCTCTGCACACCTCACATTGGCATTTAGCAAAACAAATCAATATGACAAGACTGCATTAATCAGACCAATAGATGATACTTATTATTTTATATACACAGGCTCTTATAAGTTACTACAGGGCACCTTCACATTCTTGCTGATGTCCTCCCTGTATGTGGTGCACTGGAAGAGGAGGGGCAGTTTTATAGGACATACAGGGACAGCAAGACAAGGAGCTTCAACTGGATGGAAGCCCTGTCCTCTGAAGAAGTTACTTGTGAAGAGCCAGAAAGAAAATCATTAAATCTGGTAACTGCATTGATGTGAGTTTGTAACACAAATGGACACAGCACAATTCTCCCCATTCCTTCTGGATTGGCACTGTGTTGGGAAAGGTGATAAAGAAAATTTCTGCTGTGCTACTTATATTTATGATAGATGAAAGCCTCTCTAAAAATGACACCCTCTTGCTCTCTTTCATGATCTTCTGATATATCTTGATTGCTGACTAAGGTAGCAACATGGATAATCAAGCTTTTAAAGGCCCTATTTAATAAATCTTATAACAACATTAAGAGAAGCTAAGGTGTATTCTTCTCTTACAGTGTACCATTAAAAGAACTGGTATCACATTTTTCCTGTAAAATAGCTCCTAAAAATTATCTGAGCTGACTTTGAAGCTCCAGTAGGATGACCATGCAAACCTTCCTGCTTCCTTCTTTAGAAAGAAAAGGGACACTGCATGAGAGACACTTTTCAAAGTATTCCTCACCATTAGCCTAGTGCTGAGGGATTTGGTGCCCTGCAGCTAGGAAAACTCAGAAGTGTCATGCAGAAAAGGGACTCAGGCCAGTCCTGAGTTGCTAAGTTCCTCTAAAGGGATTTTGCCAAAAAAGGAGAGGAATTTGTCACCTATTAGAACATAGTTCGGCTGTACTATGCAAGCAATTTAATAAACTCTTCCTGTAGGAGTAGTGGCAGTTTTTGAAATTAAAGAAGTAGGGCTGCTTCATTTGCACTGTTGACTTTGAATTTCAGTGTTGACACTGAATTTTCACTGTTGACTTCACTGGAGCCATGGCTCTTTACCAGATCCAAATTCTAAAGTGCCCTTAAAGGAGTGGCTGCAAATTTATAAATCATAATCTGAGTCCTCAGCTGACATGACAACCAGCACCACTCCTGCTTAGGATCTTGCCCTGCAAACCTGTAACCCCCTGTCTACAGTAGTCACTCAGTATTCAATTTGCCCCCAGCTATTTTTACTGGAATTTCTGTTAATAACAAAGAGCATCTCCTTTCAAAGAAGTGTTTAAAGGCAAATTATACTACTGAGTACATAGTGTTTCAGTGCTTGGGCTTCAAACACTCTGGAACAGGCTGATTTGTTTAATAGCTACAGTCCTGACTGGAATGTTTTTAAACTGTGTAAACATTCCTACTAGTTTTATGGGTTGCTAAACTTTTTTCTTTTTTCTTTTTTCTTCTTTCCTTTTTCTTTTTTTTAATGCTGGTACAAATTTAACTTGACAGTGTACTTTCCAAGCCTCCATTAAATAGGGCCAACTTGCTATTGATAGAAAAATATCTCTGGAATAGCTTTATGATGCCTTGCAATAGAAGATTTTTCATTAACTCTGCCTAGAAAGAGAAACCCTACCTAACATGTCTTTGTGAGTTCTTACTGTGCCTTAATGTCTGTGAGACCCCTGCTGGTTGAAAGGGGAAGAGATTGGAAAGAAAAACTCCAAGATAATTTAATGGAGAAAGGAATTTCTTTTCAGTCTGTTGTGTTTGCCAATCACTGTTACCATGCAGCCACCAAAGACCTCAGTGCTTTGAAACTTCTCACGTACAGGTTGCAGTTTGTTGGTGCTTTCCTCACATAATTGTGTTTTATCTCTCTTCAAGTGTGTCAGTGCTGTTTTAAAAGATCGTATAGAAATATTCAGCTACACCATCTGGTTTCAGTTTTCCTTAATTTGGTGTCAGCCAAGATCAATCTTATACAGCCTGGATGATTAAAAAGGACAGAGTTAAACCTGCTGCATTTTAGGGATTTAAGCCTTCCTTTTCCTCCTGTAAATTTTGACCTTTTCAAAATGGGCTTCCCCCTCCCCCTTAAGAAAGTGGAACACAAAATAAATGTTTGCTACTTTTCCAGAGGAGCCAAATTCCATGCATTCTGGCTGCTTTTCACTGACACAAAAATTATTCCAAAATAATTTGTCATTATTTACAAAATGACACTATGTTACTGTAACAATAACAGCTAACTTGGCCCTTTGAAAGTTATGTACTTTCTCAAGAAATTTCAGTCTAAGAGGCAAAACACTGATCATGGTGACCTTGGGAAAATACAGCCTCAAGAAAGTAGTGGATGTTTGTGATTATTTTGAAATCTCCCGGCTGCATCAGTTTCCCATTGAGGCAATTTGTGCTTGTGTCACACCCCACAGAGTGGTTCTCTTGCTTTCCCTGTCTGCAGCCTGGGTCCTGGAGAGGTAAAAGGAGCAGGGGCAGCTTTAGTCCCCTCTGCTGATGAGTTTCCCGGGGAAGGAAAATGTGCTGTGCATAAAAAAAATCTATGTAACTGTTGCCTGATTGTCTGCCTGGTGATGGGACTAAGCAGAGTTGGGGTGGGTACCAATCCATGCCATGTAGATTTGTTTCCTCTGTTCCCGATAGCATGACTGAGCCTTGGGAACAGTTAGTGGGATCATTGATGAGCTGCTGAATTCTTCCTTGTCTACTTTCTTTTGTCTAGGTTGCCTCAAATTATCACTGAATTTTATTGTTTTTATACACACACAACTTTTAAATCCACACAGATGGCACTTTTGGTCAAAATGCATTACACACTTCTCAGACTTCGCAGCTGGTTGAGCACCAATGAAGGAAATACATTTGGTAACTGAGTTGGGAAAGAAAGGTGCTTGGAGATGCAGTTTCTAATGCTTTCTTTTAGATATTCCCATCAGACCATACAAAGAACTCTTCCTGACTATATTAAGAAAGAAACAGGAGAATATAATTTATTTTTTTTTAAGAAATCTTTTAAAATTAAAACGTTTGGGAGCTTGATTAAATGTTCTGTGAGAAAAATGTGCAGTTCACTTACAGCTATTGACTTGAGGTTTATACAGTATTGCCAAGTGCTGGAACGAATAAAGCTTTAATATTGGAGCATTTGTTTGGTGCATTTTTTTAGGCTGAAGCAATGAGAAAACACATACCTAGATTCCACATATATACTAAAAAGGAATTTGGATTGCAAGTAATGAATGACTTGTTTAAAACTTGCAGTTCTCTTAAGAGAAAATTTTCAATCAGTCCCTTGAAAATTCAGGAGTTTTCAAGGATTGTGTGGGATGAAGAACAGCATCTTGTAAGGCCCACGTTTCGGTTGACATCCCGTAACATGTAGGGGATTATTTGTAACTGCAGCGCACACCCGCCCGTCCACTCCTTTTCACCCGTTCATTTCTTTTCCTGCGTGTGCTCATCTGCTGAGGAAACCTCCCTGCTGCTGCAGCTGCCGCCCGCACCTTGCCGCGGGCCGTTTCCCCCGCGCTGCGCCG